ACATGGCACTCACAGTCCAGAAGCATGGTGGGATACATAGCATGCCTGTGGGCCCTTCCTATTCTCACAGTCCAGAAGCATGGTGGGATACATAGCATGCCTGTGGGCCCTTCCTATTCTCACAGTCCAGAAGCATGGTGGGATACATAGCATGCCTGTGGGCCCTTCCTATTCTCACAGTCCAGAAGCATGGTGGGATACATAGCATGCCTGTGGGCCCTTCCTATTCTCACAGTCCAGAAGCATGGTGGGATACATAGCATGCCTGTGGGCCCTTCCTATTCTCACAGTCCAGAAGCATGGTGGGATACATACCATGCCTGTGGGCCCTTCCTATTCTGCATCTGTACAGTTGAGCATCCCAGGTAGTGAAAGTTGCTGCCTGTGGTAGGATGGTTCTCCCACTTCAGTTATTGTACTCAAGATAATCCTCCATATGCATGCCCTCGGTTTACTTCCTAGCTTGACAACTGAGATTAAATACAGTCTTCTTTGAACATAACTCTCAATTTTGTATCACACTTCCCTTCCCAGATGTCCACTTTATTCTTGCATGCCAATGTAAATAAAGAGAAAACAGGCCAGTAACACTATTGCGAGTATGAATGTCCATTAGAGGTCTCAGTCCAGGGCACATCAGAGTATTCCATGGAAGATTAGTACAAAGTCAAACTGATCATGCACTCACTGGCTGATGGAGTGTGGAGACAAAGCAGCCTCTGTAACACCCGGAGCAGAAGATGGGCAGGAAGAACTGATGGCCACCACATGTGCATCCTGCTCTGCCCAGAGCCCAAGGCATGTTCTGACTTCCTCAAGACCTGGGCTTTTCTGTGCTCACTTCAGATCAGTTTGCTTTCTATTGAAATCAAAAGCATTCACCTTCACCGTGTATCTTATACAGCTTCTTCTAGGTATTCACATCACCTGCTGTTACCTTTGCCTCAAATCTTTCAATATTGTTACTGATCCACCATAGCAAGACACACATATACACAGATACCTGTATAACACACACACACACACACACACAAATACATATGCACACACAGAAACACGCATGCACACACATAGACACAAATTATTTTCCAAATCCAGACACAAATGTATTTTCCATATATATGCACTTATGCCTTGGAAGATATTTAGATTCAGCATTGATACTTTTATTATTTGCTTTCAATTTCCATTACAGGACAGTGACTCTCATAGCTCCTTTAAGATTTTACTTAATTATATTAACTAAAATGAGTATGTTTATTGTTCATTGAAGTTTCACTTAAACCATTTACCCCGAGGCTGTGCTTCTCTGTGCTCAGATCACATTAAAAGACTAAAAGCCATTAGAACAAGGGATTATCTTATTCATCATTTTTATCTCTCATGTCTAGTATTCTGTCTCAGACCTGGGAAATACATGATAAATATTCCATGAATGATAATGGGCCTAAGAAAAATATTATATCAGAGGTATGTTAGAAAAACAAAGCAACAACAAAGCCAAACACAAATAAGTTGATTGCTTATGAGTGGAACAATCACTAAATAGGATGTATCTATTTAGCTATAAGGAGGTGACTTTTGTCAGAGATAGACTTGAATATTCACTTATGTAGACACGAGCATATTTCGGGACATAGCTCCTAGGTCTTAGGCATATATTTTTCTCAACCTCAACTTTCAATGAAAAGAACATAGGTAAAATATTCATTTTTTAACCAGATGGAATACATTCTACAAATGGATAAGCACAATTTCCTTTTTTATACAAATAAGTGAATTTAATTACATGTAATGTTCTTGTGTAAATATATATATGTAGTTACATACATATTTATATACTGTTACATATCACAACAATAAAGGATTACAGCTATTATAGAACATGAACAGGTTGGGAATGTAGCACATTGGTACAATGTTTGCCAACCATATCAAGTCCTTACGTCCTATCCCCAGCAGAACAAAAAGAAAACAGAAGGAAACTTTAATAAGAGCTTGCTAGAATAAGGGTGTTCTTTGTAGTACTTAGATAATATTGACTACAATGCAAGAGTAACAAGTTTTCACTGAGCATAAGCATTAGGTAACAGGCACTGTATCACTTTGGACATAGATAGGGGGCAGTACCCAGAGATCTCAATCTCTTCACAGCCCACTGACCTTATGAATCAGAAGGAAATCAGCCCAGCCACATAAAACACTGGCACATCACGTAATAACTGGAGTGACATTAACAGTAAAACACTGCTAAGTCTCTAAGTCCTTTTAATACCAAAAGGAGGCCAAGCTTCCAGACGCTTGCACTGATTCATAAATCACTGGAAATTGCTGCAGCTACATTGGATTATTATGTTGTAGTGAAGTTGCAATACATGGTTAATAGTAGCTTGGAATAATATAAACTGGTTCAATTAATATGTAAGATAAACAAAATCAGTTTAATCACTAGGAATTACTATCATCTTCTTATGGCAATATATCTTCTTTGTCCATTTATGTTTTGTGCTTAAGACAACAGAATTCTGCAAAGAATAAAGTTACCAGTAAGTACAAAAAGAGGACTTTTTGAATAAAATGTTGACTCTTGAAAATGGTTCAACTGCTGTTAGAAAGACTCAAAACTTCTGCATAGAACTTTGCTCTTTCTATACAGGAAGTGCACACTATCACCATTCCCATTTTAACCTAATTGTTTAGATGAAGGACTCTGGCCACAAGCATTTTTGATGTGCTCAACAGTCCTCCCTTAGCATTTATTTGACACATTCTTTTGAATTCAAATATTAATTAGCATCTTGGTACTTTCTCCATATGCATTTAGTAATTGTTGCTGGTAGACTGTGTACTTGAGGTTTAGGAGTTAGGAAATGCACAGGAAAATAGAGACATTTCACTAGATAATTAGAACACAATTAGAAGCCATGCAAGAGTATGGAACTAGAAAGCAGACACATCTAGACAAGACTGGGTTTTGCAAACTCAATGGCTAGACAGAAGGATAGTGTAGCTAAAGTGTACTGGACAACTCTAATATCACGGAAAATGACACAGGGCAAGAGCAATCTCCCACAAATATCAGATAAAGTATTTCAATGTACTTGGTATACAGTGGGTAACACTGTGAATTATACGATGGAGTAATTTATTTTTAATTACCTCCTGCTCTGTGAAGGAACACGTTCTAGTGGATAGTTTCAAATTGTGTGCTTAAGTGAGGAAGTGGCCGAATGAACACAAGGGTGACAGGAAATACTGAGTGTTGTTTGTCGTTCTACTCTTTCGACTTTTGTTGAGGCCTGTCACCCAGCTCCCAAAATTAACCCACTAGAGGCTTATTCTGTCTTATAAATGCCTGGTCTCAGATTGACTTGTTTCCGATCAGCTTTTCTTAAATTATCCCATCTATCGTTTGTCTCTGGACATTTACCTTTTCTCACTTCTGTAATCTTATATTCACTCTTAATCTGTGACTGGCTGGGAGGCTGGCCCTTTCTTTTCTGCTGCTTGATCTCTCCTTGTTCTATCTTGCTCCTTCGTGTTTTGCTCCCAAATTTCTCCAGCTATTTACCCTCTCTGCCTACCAGCCCCGCCTTTCCTTGTTCCTGCCTTGCTATTGGTTATTTAGCTCTTTATTCAGGTGTTTTAGACAGGCAGAGTAACACAGCTTCACAGAGTTAAACAAATGCAACAGAAACAAAAGCAACACATCTGTACATCATTAAACAAATGTTCCAAAGCACAAACAAATGTAACACACTTTAAAATAATATTCTACAACAACTAGAATTTTTTCAAGACAGGGTTTCTCTGTGTAGCTTTGGAGCCTGTCCTGGCACTCGCCCTGGAGACCAGGCTGGCCTCGAACTCATAGAGATCCACCTGCTTCTGCCTCCTGAGTGCTGGAATTAAAGGTGTGCGCCCCCAACACCCAGCCAACTAGACCCTTTTAAATGCATTGACAATGTTCTATGATACTCCCCCTCCGGATTACTTCATATTTTCAAATATTTAACCTTCATAAGACATTGATGACATTTTTTTCCCTAGCCCTGTCTAACATGGATGATCCTGCTTTGCTGTAATATGCCACCTTGGAAGTCAACTGTCTCTTTCCTTCCTGTGGCCCTTCAGCGTTTTTCTCCAAAGTTGACTATTGTATGTGGTGATATATTGTTTATGATTGATTAAAGCCACTGGAGATCAAAATAGCAAAGCAGCCATACCAGTTAGCCATAGAAGCCAAGCAAACAGCTTTAATTCCAGGACTCGGGATTAAGCAGTAGACTGATCTCCGTTTGTTCAAGGCCACACTGACTGCACAAAACTGATCCAGTCCTAACAAGAAATAGCTCACACAAAAGTAATGTCAGCACCTGGGGTCACATGCCTTTCATCCCAGCTCTAGGGCGGTGGAGACAGGAATGATGGGGCTGGGGGGAGAAAGGAATATGAGGAGGAAGAGAACGGAATTGAGAGCCTTTAGCCTCTGAGGATTTGTGGAGACAGAAAAGCCATTTCAGCTGGGTAGAGGTGAGAGCTACTGACTTTCATGCTTTACTTCTCTGATTTTCAGCTTGAAGCTTGAACCCTAATATCTGTCTGTCTCTGTGTCTTTTATTTATCATGCTATAAATGTGCATCTTTTTTTTCTGGTAGGAATTCACAAATTGTTCTGTAATATACACTAAAAAGTCTTTATCTGTGAGGAATTTGTACTTAATTTCGATCCCTGTAGAAAGCTTACTGAAAGAGCAATGTTCCATTCTTAACTCTTGAGCTGTGGAATGAGTGACAGCGCCCATCATAGAGAAAAAAGAAGAAATCCCTTTATGGGCAAAGAATTAAATTGTGAATGACCACATCACAAATACAGGAGACTTTATCAATATCATTAAACTTATGCAATAATAGATAAGAGATAACTATTTTGCCTAGACTGGGGAAAAGGTTTGAAGTGGAGTGCTCCATTAAAAGTTGTGATTACATTGCAACTGTACCTCTCAGTTCTGAAAACAGTCCCCAGCAAGTAGGGCACACCCAGTCCATTTTCACGGGCTTCATGTTGTCTGCATCAAGTTTCGTCTGTCTATGGCAACCTCAGAATGCCCTCTTTTGCCACCTGTGGAGATTGAAAGCAATGACAGCTTTGCGGCCATACTTTGATACTTCCCTTCATACCCATAGAAGCAAGCCTGCCTCTGTGAAAAACGGCGTTGTAGTTACACTTGCCTGGTTGTTGAAGAGAAGTTACAGTGTAATTAGTGCCACCTAATGGGAAGTGCTACTGAAGTGCATACCGGTATTAATCATGCTCCAATCTAGAGCTGGCTATAGTAATCATGAGTGTAATTACAAGCTGACTGACACACTGCTACACTTGAAGACTAACCCTAACCAAGGTTCCTTTCTTACTTTCAAATAGTAGCAAAATTCAGGGTGCTGAGATGGTTTTATTCCTGAGTGCTCTCTTGCTACCCCAAAGCAACCTGGGAAATACTTCCTTGTGTTTCACCTTATATAATGATTGGAATGACTAAAGTTTACCAACCTGAAAGACAGGGTCAGCTCTAATCTGTCAAGATTTAATCCTGCCCTGACTCATTGCCCATCTGACAATGTAGAGTTTTGTCCTGGCATTTGTGAGTTTGACACATAAGTGAATAAAACAAGAACATGTCCATGCAGCCTGAATTTGCCAAGAGGTAAATCCAAGTTAATATAAAAACACTTGTCCCCTCATTGTTTTAGTGAGGTCCTATGATGGCCTTCTTCAAAATTTTCAACAACTATTTGAAACACCTTGAAGGGTACCTATGAATTTTAGTCTTAACCAGTCTACATAAGGTCCAAAGTGTTAGGTTTGGTTTCTTAGTTTGAATTATTTCAGCTCCACACATTGTTCTACTTACTACTCATTTATAAATGGAATAACCTTATTTTTCACAAGTAACAACCAGAATGTCTTTTCACTCTTGAAGCTTTCCTGAGACTCCTCTAGGTTCAGTGGCCAGTGGCACAACAATGGTTTCGTCATGGCACTGCATGAGTGCATATCACTGTGATTCCATGATTTGCTAGATTCACCTCCCCACACGCTCCCATGCCATCAGCCATGTCTCACTGGTACTCATTTTGCACTATGTATATTTTAAAATCTATACTCTACTTAAGAGAAAAAAATGTGGCAGGAAATCTCCATGTTTATATGCTAAAGAGCACTGACTTTCTTGATATAAGGGTATGTGTCTACTCTTATTGTAATTTGTTATGCCATGTTAGGTTGATATCTCTAGGAGGCCTGCTTTTTTTTTTAAAGATAATGGAGGAGGCGTGGTTCTGGGGAAGAGGGGCAGTAGTGAGGAAGGGCTCTGAGGAGGGGAGGGAAGGGAAACTGTGGTTGGGATGAAATATTCAAAAAAGAATAAATGTAAAAAATAGAACACTGACTTTTTCTAAATGTCTAAATGTTCAAGGAAAAATACCAAGTTACATGGGCTTTGTTTGTCTTGTGACTCACACTGTGTTGTCCTAAGTACTGTTTACTCCACAGAAGAGACTAGAATCCATGTTTTCTAAAGACTGCTTCATAGTACATCCTACAATTTTGAAAAATATTATTGATATTATATGCATGTTCTTTGCGTTAAAATAGATCTTTGTACTGTACTTCTGAACAGTGAATTTAAATATCACATTTTAGAACAAGGTGGAATGTGCAGTTTACTCCCAGGGAGCAGCCTCTCCTGGGTAGCGTATCTAAGACGGCGTCCTGAGAGTGGGAGGACTAAGATGTCTTCCTTGTTTGTCAAAGTAACTTTGCCTTATATGAGTATTTCTTATAAAATTTTACAAATATTTCTTTCCCATTACCTTTATTTACATTATAAAAAATTTCTTGATTTTGTACTTGTATAAATTCCGAAAAGACACCATGTTGAATATTTGTTTTGCACAAGAGGAGTACCCCAAAATATTTGTCTGAGGTGGTTATGAAAACATTTCTGACAGTAACGTTGCAGTTTGTCTTTGGTCAGTGCAAGAGATGGAGAACTGTAAAACCCTGGGCTGTGAGAGTGAGATTGAGTCATGTTTTCCTTAATCGTGTTTCAAAATTACCTTGTTCTAATCAACTCAGGAAGTTGTCATTTGATATAACCCAAATTCTCTTAAGCTTATGCCTTTAAAATATTTGACTGCTACACCTCCAGAGAAGGATATTTTGTCCAGGCTTCCTTTGCAGGTTTGAATTTAGGAAATGCATGTTGATCTTCCTGTGTAAAATTGAATTAGTCAGTGAACACACTGCAAGTGAGCATGCAGTCAGGGTCCACAGGAGGCCCCAGGCAGACAGGCAGCAGGATCACTCTTCCACACACACACACGGCTTTACAGTTTCTCGTGTCACACGCATGCCAGTCCACTCCAGCACAAACATCTAGTTCACAGCCCTTTTTCCTCCTTACTTTTAATCAGACAGTGGTCTGCGCTTTAATTGTGCCGCATTATAGCATTGAGTACCCCAGCAGGAAGAATTTCATCTCACTGATTTGAGTCACACAGGGGAGATGGGATTTGCTTTCTTTTCTTTCAGTGCCCCAAATTCTAAAGTGCACTTTGGGTCTCAGACTTCTTTGAATCAAAGTCTGTTAATACTTCCCACAGTGTCAACTAGAATGTACATGCCAGGATTGTAAAGTGATGTTTTTTATTTTTTTAATAAAACATTATATCATTATTTGTACTTTTGCTTATTTATATAAACTTTTTTTCCAAATGTCCTTTCAAAAGTGTTTTATATAGCATATATAAAATACATAAGAACCATACTTGTCATCCGAGGACAAAAAAAAAAAAAAAATCTCCTGAAAGCAAAAAGAAGACTATTGGAGAAAAGAGAGAGAATCAGAGCAAAGGAAGGGACAGGTAATGAGTATTTTAGATACATTGTATATAAATGACTGTAACAACGACTCTTTCCACCAGCTGCCTGGGTTCTGCTGCCGCTTTAGGGCTCCCAAATAACATATAAGTCTTATATTAGGTACAATGTTGCCGGCCAATGACTAGGATTTCTTATTTGCTAGCTGAGTCTTAATAATCAGCCATAACTACCAATCTATCAGGACTTATCTTACCAAGGACGCTGGCCTTATGTGTCCTCTCTTCCTGGGATCACATGGCGACTCCTCTTTACTACATTTCCCAGAATCCTCCTCCTCTCCTAGTCCTGCCTATCTTGCTTTCCTATTGGCCAACAATGTTTTATTCATTAACCAATAAGAGAGACATATATGCAGAAGGACTTCCCCCATTGACCCGATCATTTTTGTAGAGTTAATGCATATTAGCAAAATAATTTTCTTTGATTGCTACCTTTATAACTAACCAAAGAAATAAATCTAGATTACAGAAGTAATTTAATAGCTAAACAAAAAGAAATCAAACTCTCCAGTCAATAAATGTGCTAATGAAATGACCAGACATTTCTCAAAAGATGAAAGACAAATATCCAAAAACAACAAGAAAAAATGCATAATCTCACTAATTGGTAGAAAAAAATGCAAACCAATATTACTCTGAGATCCAAACTCACCCTAGTCAGAAGGGCAGTCACTAAGGGAAAAATAACAGCAAATACTGGCCCAGGATGTAGACAAATAGGAACCTTTATACAGCTCTGGTGAATATGTAAATCTTCCATTAAGTATGGAAGTCAGTATGGATCTTTTTCAAAACAGTGAACGCAGCTATACCCCTCAACGGGATTTACCTAAAGGACATCAAGTCAACATATCACAGATACTTGCACATCAATGTTTACCCTTGCATTGTAGATAGTACTAAATTACAGAATCGACAAAGGTGTCCAACGACAGAGAAAGATAAAGACGATACAGCATATATACGAAGTGGGATTTTTTTTTTCAGCCAGAAACAATGAGATTTACTGTTAAGAGGATCACCAAGTTAAGTGAATTAAGCTAATCTCATAAAAAATAGTGTAGGTTTTTCTTGACTTGGGATTATATAGGTTTTATATAGTCACATACTTACAATAAAGTCACATATTATTTATATACATGAATATATGAAGAATAGAGGCATTAATTGGCAGAGCAAAAGCAAGAAGATATGATGAATAAGCTCAGCATATTGAAAATTAAAAATTAAACTAAATTTTCCTTTGCCAAGATGTGTATTTACTCAAAGAAAATTCTTGAAGTTTTTTATTTACTCTCTGTTTCCACTGGCAGCATGTCAATAGAGTTAAATTTCAAAGTAGTAACCTTTGTGTCTCACCATAATTACTGATCAATCACTAGAGTTTAGTAAGCACGGACTGTAATTCTAACAGGGTGATAAGTTTATGTTGTATAGGGAAACGACTCTTCTAGATACCATAGGCTACCCCTCCAAAAGCCCAAAGCTGTGTGTGTGTTATCTCCCTTTTAGACTTGTCTATAGAGGTCCCATAGACCCCTCCACAAAACAATGGAGGCTATTGTCATGACTCTTGATTACTCACCAGAACTTGATGGTATGATGCCATTATGAAAATACCATATACATTTCCCATAGGACAATGGGAAATCAAGTTGGTGCTGACTGGGGATGTTTATCCCTATTAGATAGCTGATATAGTGCCAAAATATGCTGTAAGGATGCTAGAAGGAAGTAATAATCAATAATCTTATTCAGTTGTGAACGCTATGAGCTACAACAATCAGCCTTGGCAAGATATACCTACTGTTGCAATAGCGGCATGAATGTTATGTGAGTAACCACTCGCTTTTGAACTGAATTTAAGATTCAGCCCCCCCCCCAAAAAAAGAACTCATGCTTGGTACTGTTAACAGAACCAAGAATTCACAGTGGGGTATATCATAGGCCTAAGGAGAGAACCTACTACTATTTTTCTACAGATGGATACACACACAAACACACACACACACACACACACACACACACACACACACACTTATAATATACATATATAACATTTAAACAAAAAGCAATGTTCTCTAGCAAATATTTTTTTCAGTGAAGAATTTTGAAACTAAATACTTATATGTGCTAGGAAAGAATTCTACCATTGAGCTATAACCCCAACTATCAGATAATGATATTTTCATACAAAATGACTTGATACTAGGGGGAAATTGCTCATTATTCTGTTTCTCAAGAACTTTACAGCCCTTTCCTCTATGCCATTCAAGGAATCCTAAGGAATGGTTCTAGAGGATCAATCAAAAGCTCAGAGAAGCCATCACACATAGACAGTGAATTGAGGATTTAAAGATGGCAGAAGGACAACCTATGAACAGAATACTTTCAAACTCCAGTGCCCAGTAATGGCACAAGGACAATGTCACATAATATATATATATATATATATGTATATATATATATATATATATCCATATATGTATATATGTATAATCTAAATACTTATCTTTATATATGGATTGCTGTAGCTTTCAACCCTTATCAGAGAAGCTACTTTTTGTATTTGCAACTGGCTAGAGTATAGAGAATGAGAAATTATAGAGCATTAAGCCACAAATTTGAGATATATACGTGTGTGTGTGTGTGTGTGTGTGTGTGTGTGTGTGTGTATGTGTGTGTTTTACATTCTTTCTCCAAAAGCTCAAGGATCGTAGCAGAAGAGATAGATTTTGGACCTAAACACAATAAAGCAAAACAAACCAACAGCACTTTAAAACAACTCAGAGAAGATTTATCTGCATTTGAAATGTGACTATAATGAATACAGTATGTGAATCATATAAGTGGATATAATCATATAAGTGAACATGATTATGTAAGTACATATAACTCTCAGTTATTCTGTGAGTCATGGAGGAGACTTTTCAAAGTTAAAGTACTCTCCTTCGATAACCAGTTCAAGAAATATTGCAAGAGCCAAAGGTTGTAGAGGACAGCTTTGCAATAGTGTTTTCTGAACATGATAGGTCCATGGTACATAGGAACTCCCAGAAGCTGTGACTGGACATCCAAGACCTGACCAAGGTAAAGCTGGCCAAAATCCTAGCATGGATGAGGAAGAAGCTTACCGGGTAGCAGGACAGGAGAGGTTAGAGGGAAGGAGGTCACATGTGGATTTTATCAAAACACATTGAATACAATCATAAAATAGATTTAAAAATATTCATAAGTAGTATTTTCTTTAAGTTTATATGTATCCAAAGGAAAAATTTCTGGTAGCTGCCATGTACTGTTTCCCCATGTCATCCATATCAACACAGGAAAACTCAACACTAGGTCCTTTGCTTCCCACAATTACACTTGCAAATCAAAAGTTTGGTAAATACCTACTGTGCTCTCAAGAAATTTTGATGCCTAAATGAAAATCTAATCTCTAACTTTGTAAGGATACACAAATTGTATTGGTTGTACAAAATGTAGATTATAAACACTTATTCCAACTTGGGCTATTTATGACTTATGAAGTTAACAGGGAAGGGGTTTTTCATATAATGACATAGGAAACACAAAATGACAGAAAGGAGGGAAATATGATAATCAATAGGCAGAAGTGTATTGTTTTTATAACAAAGTACTACATTAATTTATTGAAGGAAATAATTTTGTAGCTGAAAGAAAACATGGGGCTTGGAAACAAATGAAAACTAAATATATCTAATGAAGTACCGTTTGTCTTCCTAGTGTATTTCCTAATGAACCCACTCTCATGTACAGTAATACCTCAGCAAGCCCCACTTCTGCTATATTATACCATTAATAAGCACAAAATATCAAAGGAAATTTTGAAGTAAGCACAGAGCACCATATTTCATTTCATTTTTTGAAGTTTTCACACAGAGAATTATCATTTTCATTTTGCTTGTTTTCCCAACTGACTTTGGTGTTAAATTCAATTATTTTTAAAAAATCATATTAATAACAGCATGACCCAAGAAACCAATTTTCATCCCTGGAAGAGAGTGAGACTGGAGATGTAACCAACCAATGAGGAAAAGAAACATTGTGAAATGAGATTTCTGATTCCTATTTCTAGACTGTACGTTCTTCATAATATAAAAACCATCAGTACAAGAGGGTATCACTGAGATAAACTGTAAGTGCTGTTTGAAAACTATCATCAATGCAATATATTGACATATATAATATATAGCTAGTATATGTATACATAGATAACACACATTGCTAATATGTTATTATATTGTCTGTATTATATGTATTAATATATTATATATAATGTATATTAGCACCCATTGTTCCAAAACCTTTCATGGCACATTTAGATACATTTGGGAAGGCAGCCTCCTCATGCTCTTGAGAGGGGAACCATGTGCTGCTCACACTTTTTCCATGACTCATCCAATTTAATTTACCAGTTAGGCACTTATTGAATCAGTTTTGACATACACTAAGATAACAGAGGTGCCACTGAAATGCTTATGTAGCAGCTGAGCTCTCTATTTCTTTTCTACTTCTTCATTTTTATTACATTGTAGTACATTGTGGCTCTGCTAAACCTAACTAATATCTTACTCATCCTGCCAATTATTTCTCAGTGTATACTTGTAATTAAACCCATTCTGAGATTTGTGTCAGCCTTCCTGCACAGTAATCAATACTAAATTGTAACAACAGAAAGAGACAATATGTGCTGTTAGTGAATTTTTGCCTGTACTTGTACAAATAAGATTAAGAGCATCATGTAGAATGAGCTGTGAGTACATGACATTTTCCCAATAACTGTTTTTCATTATTTTGAAGTGTGCATAGATGTCCTGCCATCCTGGCTCCTCTCAGCCTCAGCTACATGTCACACAGAGATTCAGCTTTGATGGCTGTCTCTAGAACAGCACAGACTAAGTAATTTATAAAGAACAGAGATTTATTTTTCACAGTTCTTGGGGTCGGATGGTCCCGATCACTGTCACATGGAAAGTATCTTGCTAGTATGTCATCTTATGTTTAGAAGATAGAGAGACAAGGTCACAAAAAGAAAACAACAGGCTAAGGAAAACAACCTCCAGAACTGGGGCTTACGTTCCAAATAATGCTTTTTCAAAACCATATCGTTGGTTCTTCAGCAATTTAAAACAAAACAAATCCTTGTCACCTCCTGTCTCTACCACCCCAATATCACTGATTTCTTAAACAACAAAAGGTTCTGGATGCAAAGTAACTTC